TTTGGAGGAAAGAAATCTGAATTCGATATAAATAAATGGTGTAAAATGTAGATTTTTAGGAAGGAAACAATGTCTAAATGGAACGTTTGGAGAAAAGAAATCTAAATTGTTACAAAATACGTACATACTTAGAAGTCTATATTCGATGGAAGAGCGTTCGTTTGGAAGAAAAAAATCTGAATTCGAATAAATAGTAAAATGAAAATTTTTAGGAAAGAGAAGATGCCTAAATGGAACGTTTGGAGAAAAGAAATCTAAATTATTACGAAATATTGGTTTGAAAATAAAATATTTGGAGGAAAGAAATCTGAATCCGAATAAATGGTAAAATATAGATTTTCAGGAAGGAAATGATGCCTAAATGGAACGTTTGGAGAAAAGAAATCTAAATCATTACGAAATACTGGTTTGAAAATAAAACATTTGGAGGGAAGAAATCTGAATCCGAATAAATGTAAAATGTAGATTTTTAGGAAACAGAACGATGGAAGGAATCGATGCCTAAACGAAACGTTTGAAAAAGAAATCTAAATTGTTACGAAGTATTTATTTGGAAATAAAACGAAGGAAAGAAATTTAGATCCGAATAAATAATGTAAAATGAAGATTTTTAAGAAGGAGACAATGCCTAAAACGTATGGAAAAAAGAAATCTAAATCGTTACAAAGTATGTATACATTTAAAAGCCTATACTCGAATAAATGAGCGCGATTGGTTTGGAGAAAAGAAATCTGAATGGTTACAAAGTATCGATTCTGGAAATAAAACGGTTTGGAGAAAGAAAATGTGAATTTTAGGAAAGAGAATGATGGAAGAGAGAGGAAGGGAAGGGCGAAATCTCGGACGGTGATCGGTAACGGGTAACCAGCCACGTGATGGGACATCCTCGTTATTATACATCGCGGAATTCCTTTCCGCGTTGGCGAGCCGCGTATGGCGGCCGCGATGCGCGTAAATCTTTCGCCACGGTTACAGCCGGCGGGCATTACGTTGATGCACTATTTATAAACACGTGACATCGGGACGAGTGGTTTGGCGCGGGTGGGCCGACAGAGTTTCGTGTTCTCGCCTCTTCTCGTCCACCTGCTCGCGATCAAGTCCCTTATATTATCCCGTATTTTCTTCCTCACTTATTAATCTCCCTTTCCGCGGATCCAAATTATATTTTCCCTCCCTCTGCTTCTTTCCATCCTTCGAAATTTAAATTTATTTTGGGATTACAAATCCTTGATTCCTTTTTTTTTTCTTTTTCCTTTTGCAACAGGAAGTAAAAATATATATATATATATATTAAATTGTATCGAAGCGTAAATTGTATCGAAGCCGCTGTCGGGCCTCGATAAAGAAGAAGCGAGGATTCGTGTTATTCTTGTTTCACGATGATGAGTTGAAACGTTTAAGGAAGCTAATGCCGTACGATAGTTTTCGCAAATTACGCAACGACGTGTCATTACGAGGAACGTGCTCCAAGACGTAATTACAAGATTGTCGTAAAAGACGGGAAGTAGAAGATAGAGTCATGAAAGTTGAAATGCCACCTCGACGCGTGACCGACACTTAGCTGCAGGATAGACGAGATTGTCCTTTCGTTACTTATTGCCGCTACCCTGCCTTTCTCGCGTGTATATACGCGTGGTTATTATTTCTGGATATCGTCGTGCCAAGATATCACTGTCTGACAGCGCGTAACTTCTGACTCGTTTTTCCACAAAATGTTGTTGCAAAATGGTGAAAAAAAGGAAAAAAAAGATTCATCCTCGCGCAAGTGAAATAAAGCAACCACTCCATAATTTCCATTCTCTTCGATACTTTTTTCGATCGCTAGATTCCTATTCCAGCTCGACGATCGAAAAGAACGAAAAGAACGAAAGAAGGAAGAGAAAGAGGAGGAGGAAGCGCGTTAACACGACGCTTTTATCGGCCCACTTGGGCCCTTCGACGACGCGAAAGTTATCGCCGGTCGTGGCCGTAATTATCTCGAAGGCTACCGCGATACCGTGCCCACCACACTGTGTAGATCATATTTCTTGTCGGCTTCTGCCTTTCTTCGTATACACGTTATACACGCAGCCGCCCGCCGCCAACGAGTGAGACGTTCCAGGCCCGAGTGCATTAATCTCGGGCGACGGATGCGTTAATGTAATCGTTTAATAAGTCCGCGTTTATTAACTGCGCCCGCTCTCATCGGCATTAATTCACCCTTTGCGCTCATCCCCGTCCACCTCGAAAATCCTCGCTTCCTCTCGCTCCTTTTGCCTTTGCTCGCCGCTCCGTTCGTGTACCGTTCGGATACAAAAGAGATTCGAGGAACCGTGGAACAGGTTTCGCCAGGCGAAACAGTCCCCCTCCGAGCCACCAGTTTTCCATTCGATTCGAAACATACATTTTCCACAGCTATCGCTCGAACACTTTTCTGGAATCCCATAAAGAAGGAAGGAAAGAAGAAGAAGAAGAAGAAGAAGAGAAAGAAGGGGAAAAAACGGGAGCCGGCCTTGCGAGGCTTATGGCTCGGAATCGATTTGTCCGCCGTGGCGCGGCGCGTTTAATAATAATTTCCTCGTGCCCCGATGCCCGGCCGTATTCTAATGAATACAAACACGCGGCGATTTATCTCGGCTGATTCGCGGAATATTAATTATTAATTGCGCCACGAATATTTATAAGCGGCTAGCCGATCGATAATTCCTCGCGATAATATAAGCAAAATGGTGAGCAAAAACGGTGCTGTAACGGACAGACAGGCGACACAGGCGCGGCCACAGGCTAATGCAATCGAGTATGCAAAACGGACAATTACACTGTTACGAGTTTGCGCGCAATCCCCGTTTTGCCGTTCGGAACGCCGTTAATCAACCAATTGCGATGACCGCGCGGCACGGGCGCGGCGGCGTTGATTGGTCGACCGTGTTCCGCTTTTCCGAACAGAAGCCGAGCTACACTCCCGTCTCGCCACTCGAGCTTCGACGTGCTTATTACATTATACATATTTATAAGGATACTAATATTCGAAAAATAAACTCGCCCATTCTTGCGAAGATACGAAGTCGAATACCCGATCCATTTCTCGACACCCTATATATATATATCTGCAATTCTTGGAATTATTGGAATTATCGAGACTGGAGTCCCAAAGAACGCGAGGGAAGAGGCGAATTCCGCGGGAAAATGACGTGGACGTTGGAGGCAGGTGTGCGCGGAACAACGAAAAGTGTCGAATGGAACGGAACGGAACGGAACGGAACGGATACGTAATAATATCGATGAAACGAAAAAAGCTAAAAGGCTATCGATTTTCGAAGAATAATACCGCGTAAATGATGTCGATTTGAACGTTTCTATCGGCGTGGAGACGGGATCATTGGACGACGCGTAAAAAAAGGTAGCGAAATGGAAGGAGAGGAGGGGAGGGGATGGAAGAGCGGTGGCACGGCGTTCCTCTTGTCTAAGCGCGACGTTGATAAATAATCATTGGCGCGTAGACGCGAGCATCTACATGGAGCGCAGGTGTGCAGGAGGGAGCGCGCCGCGGCGACACCTGGTGCTGATCAACGAATCGGGGAATCGGTTCTGGTATAAGGCTAAATGGTCGGCTAAATTGCCGCGTTATTCTTGTAAACCGCGGCGTCCCCGACTATCCAATTACCGGACGAGGTGGCAAGATGTCTCGAACGGGATACACGCGTCCCCCGTCCAACCAGCTCGGAATCGCGGCTTTTTTAACGCCGCCGACACCATTAAGGGCGGCTAATGAGCACACACGGGGGGAAAAAAATTAATCGGTAAATTTGGCGTGGCACCGAGCCGGCTGCAAACTGCCTTCGTTACCATCCAACATCGCCAAATTTAACACAGGTATCGTATCGCTTAACGATCGTTCCGCTTCCTCCTCCTCCTCCCGAGTGGGGGGGGATTAATCGAGGATCGAGGAAAGCGAAGGTGAGAAATTCGAAAATCGATCGGGTAACACGGGAATTGCTTCGATAACCTTGTTCAATCGCTTGCATGTCCGTTCTCACGTTTTGCGGTGTTTGCAACAACAATTTACAGTCGATATTGCCGACGATCTTTCCTATGGATGTACACTTTTCTCCACGGTTCATCGATTCTATATCTCCTCGTGTTAAGAGATTTCAACGCGAAATTGACGAGAACGAGTAAGGAAAAATTCTCTAATCGAGACTAATAATCGAGAACATGGATAAGCTTGAAATTATTACGAATGATTATGTTGGAGGGGAGGGGAGAAAACGTCAAAGATCAGAGAAGAGTGAACTTGTGCGAGCGAGGAATCGAGTGAAAGCAGCGTTAACGTCAACGCACTCCGATACGCACGCTTCTCTCGTTCGTTCCCTATCTTTGCGTTTCCGTTTCTCCTTCCTTAGTAGTTCACCCATGTGATTCGGTTTAACAGCGATGCACTTCGAAAATCTTGATCTTGTCACGCTTCCGCGGACTCGATTTTTCCCCCTTACGGCTCTATTGAACGGACAAACCCGTCGTTCGCGGCAAGGTAATAGCTCGATACTCCTTCAACTGTGAATCGCTATAACCGAGGAACGAGTTTTTCTTTTCTCGAGGGAAAAAGAAAAAAAATGGACATCGAAGCGATCGGGACACCGCCTTCCGATGGTGTTCGAGGCGAATCAGACAATTTCGTGGTGGAATAGTTTTCGAGTGGGGAGCTTGGCGTTGAATGGAAAAAAAAATCGAAACGCGGAAACCACGGTAAACAAAATCGTTTAGTCGGCACCCGGATCGTTCCCGAGACGCAAATCGATCACGATGATTTTGGCATAATTTTAATTCAAATTTTCTCGTGATAATTCTAATCCAAGCGTATCGTTTACAAGGCGTTCGTCTAAATTACACGTAAAGCTCAAATGCACATTATCAACGAGTTGGAAGCTGAAAGCTTTCTCGGTTCACCGATTCGAAGGGATCGTGTCGAAAGTTTCTTTGAAAAAAAAAAAAGAAAAAAAAGCGGGAGACGCAATTGAGAAATGGGGAAGCAAACACCGAAGATGTCGTCCAGGGTGGTTAACGCCATCAGGAATCTGAGGGAGGCTCACGGGTCCACGTCGAAAGAGATCATGAATTATATCATGTCGCAGTGCAACGTTCACGAGTCGACCGTGAACAGACAGGTAGCTTCGCTTCTTCGTATCTTTTTTTCTTTAAAAAAAAAAAAAAAAAAAAACAAATTTCAAATACAATCCGAATCCCAAAGATTAATTTTTCGCCGTTTACAAAAAAAAAAAAAAAAATACGTTCGATACGATGAAAAAAATTTGGTCGAAGCAAAAGAATATTTTTCGACGTTCGATCGATCTAGCTTCCGAATGGCTGGATCAAGGAACGATATATCTATCCTAGAGAGAGAGAGAGAGATACGGTATTGACGAATTCGAATCCTTCCGAATTTCTTCCTTCCCCCCTGCCCAGATGCACGCGGCGTTGAAACGCGGTTTGGACTACGGTATCCTGAAGAAGGCCAACGGCCACTATTTCCTCAACACGGACCCGGATTCCCAGCTCACGTCGAACATGATGCCGACCGAGCAGGCGAGAAGAAGGGGGCGAAGAAGACGAAGCAGAGGTCGGCGGAGAAGAGGTCGTCGAAGGAGGCGCAGGAGAAGCAGAAGGAGAGGGCGCAGAAGACGCAGAAGCAGTCGTCGTCGTCGCCGTTCGACGAGGAGGAGGGGCCGTACGACGAGAACGAGGCGGATGGCGTGCACGAGATGCAGGTGCACCAAGAGGACCAGGGACATAGTTGCCCTGAATAGTAATCCGGTGGAGCAACTGACGGCTGAGGACAACGGGATGTGCACGTGCGAGAAGGAGAGCAACATGGAGACGCGGTCGAGGCACAGCAAGAGCCGCGATCGAAGCATGAGTCGGAGCCGATCGTCGGCGAACAGCGATCGAGATGACGGGGCCAATAATCGACGCGCGACCATCGAGGAGGATTAATCGATTCTCGAGGGAGAAGCAAGTCCGTTACCGTGTTGCATCTCCCCGCCGGGTCGTCAACGCGTTGCATAAACCGTTCCCCTCTCCCCGTGGAGAACGATCGGTGCCGAGTGAAACCGTTCGCGTCTCCGAGTATCATCTGTCGTTCGTCACTTTTGTTTTTTTCTTTCCTTCCTTCCTTCTTTCTTTCTTTCTTTCTTTTCTTCTTTCCTTCTTTCCTTCCTTCTTTCTTCCTCCTCTCTTTCCTTTTTTTAAATCGTATAGCTCCCTCTCTCTGTTCCTCTGTCGACATAAAATTCGTATATCATATTTTTATCGAGTGATTTATCGAGTGATGAATGTGATTTTCAACGATCATGTAATAATTGCGATATATAATAAATTGGTAATGTCCAGTTTCTATTTTATATCCAAAAAATTTTTTTCTATCGTTAAAACTCGCGGGAGTAGTAACTTTAATTCATCGTTCGTATCTTTTGGAGAAAAGAGTTTTACGCGTACGTGCGCGCACGCACGGATGGACGCATGGAAGAAGAAGAAGACCTTGGCCGAGGTGGTCTGAATGAAAGCAACGGCAATAACTCTTCGAGCGGTAGAGTCGAGGCGGGTTAGAAAGCATCGAGAAGCGATTAGTGGTATTTACCGGTCCCCACTGAGAGAGAGAGAGCCTGCCGATTCCCGGTACCGTTCCGACGTCCCGCAGGGATCCGCGTACGCGTCACAATACCGCCATCCAACTGCTCCCCATTCTCTCTCCAATGTCACGCTTCCCATCGGGCCCCTATTAATAACCTTCTAACGGTGGCCATCGAACAATTTTTCCACCCGATGGCTACGAAACGTTTATTAAACTGTTTCCTAAACTTATTCGGATGGATCGATGAGTTATTTCCTATCCGATCCGCGACTCGATTCGTTCGAACTTGCTTTCGAAAAGGATAATTTAAGAAAAGAACAAGCGTCGTTCGAGTGTAGACTGGTTTATCTCCGACCGAATTGTCCTATTCGCTCATCCATTCCTATCACGAACGAGATCGGTTTAATTCGGCCACGGTAGTTTCGGTGCTCAGCGTGCGATCCATTGTGCGCGATAACGAGTAAGCGGCCGCGCATCACGACCGTTTCCCTCCTACGTGTCTTGGAACGGCTCGTTATTTCGTAAGAAACGGATTCTATCCGCTTGAACGAGTCTATGGCAGAGACAGGTCGATAACTCGAGCACTTAATATAGTTAGAAAACTATATTGCGTCCATTTCGTCAAACCGCGAGACGATTATCTTTTTATCTTAACGACTGTGGCAAAAAAACACCGAATGGCAACACCGATACTCTCAACATCGCTCGCTCGATGGAATGATATTCCTTGTTCCGTCACTTGGATTCGGATCGGATGGTTTTTCGACCACTTCGAAACCAGAAGACAGAGGTCGAGCAGCAGGTTACAGAGATAAGATAACGGCGAGGAGAGGAGAAGAGAGGAGAGGGTTTTCGTTACGCCTTATTATTCGTTATTTAACGAAGCAGCGAGTGTTCTCTGATAAGAGAAAGGGAACAAATTGGGGGAGGAGGGAGGGGGGAAAGGATAATTTGCAGGAGGAAGGCGGCCTAAAAATCCACGGGTACGACCCGCCACCGACAAATTTACGAGTTCCACGCTGAAAGCCCCGTTATCGTCCGGTGTCCCTCCCTCCCACCCGTATCTCCCGCCCGCCCTTCCTCGCCGCCTCGATCTCGCAATTAGTTCGCGGGAACACCGTCTCCGGGAAGCGGCGTGGCCAGCCTCCAGTTTCGCTTCTTCCTTTTTTCTTTTTTTCCCCTTTCTTCCACGTTACACCTGCCACCGACGCGGCATTTTCGCGCGCGCACCCAACCAATTCTTTCTCTCCGCCTCGAGAGAATATTCGTCCTCCGTCCGAGCCGATTACTTGTCTTCTTTTTCAAACGATTGTATATAAAAATACGTTCGATTAAATTTGAAAGGGATTCGGAATTCGGATCGAGATTCGGGAGAATTCGCCGAGAAAGAGTTTCGCGAAAGAGATGCTATCCTCGAGCAAGAAGGGAGAGATCGGTGTGAACAAGAAAAGAAGAAGAAAGAAAAGAAAGAAAACAGTTGGATGAAGCGCGGGTGACGCGAATGGGCAGCGTCGAGTCTCGCGAAGCTATCTGAAGGCGAATCGCGTTGCTGAATCCGAGTAATCTGGCAACGAGTGAAAAAAAGGTCGAAAATTTCGTGGTCTCGGGTCATCGCGAGCTCTCTCTCTCTCTCTCTCTCTCTCTCTTCTAAACGAATGTCGGGTTAGGGTCGCAGCAGAAAATCTCGGCGATACGATCTTTCGCCGCGCGGAACGGTGGATCGAGGTGTCAGCCTTGTTCTTACTACGTGTACCCGTTTGCCGAGATACCGTCACTCTGACATTACTCGCGATATCATTAAGCTGGATTTATGTCGCGCGTAAACGGACGCGCATCCCTCGCCCGTTATATTCTACGAATATACGCGTATTGGACTAAATTGTCGGCGAGCGAAAGACGGTTCGGGACAATTTAGCGAGCACTCGAGGAAGGAAATTGCCTTGGCGAGGATGTGTTTCGAAGCGGGAGGGGTTTATTCTTCCTCCAACTTGATATTCCCTCGAATCAAAAAAAGCTCGAGTTATATAAATTAAGCTTGAGAGGCGAGTCTCAAGTCGCCACTGTTAAGCGGCCGTAAACGTTGAGATTAATTTTAGTACAGTTTCGCACAGTTTTGCGAATCAAATATGGCAATAAAAAAAGTAGAAAGTTTCTACTTTTCGTATATTCTATTCTTATCGCGTGGAACGTATAAAAAATCATTGACAAATCATTATTAAAACTTAATATTGATCGATAATTTATAATTGTTTTGAAATGTTTTAAAAATGAAATTTAAACGCTTCTTGATAAATTTTAACGTATTTTAACGTATGCTTGTTGTACAATGTTACAATTTGAACATTTTCTCCAATTAATATACACTGTTTCGTGCAAGCAACTCGAGTGGCGAGCGATTTACGTTAGATTTCGTTTTCGCCGAATAATAAGAGCGCAGTCCCGATTAGCTTTCAAAATCATCTCGAGCTGCTACTTGGAAAGGATTCCTGGAGAACCTCGAGGAGAAATTAAAGCCCTCTTCCGTACGACACCTTGGATAGATTCGTATACGGGGTCAATTAACCCGTAAACGCGGCTCGCTCGTGAAGAAAGGAATATATATATATCGCCGTTGTTGAACCCAATCCATTCCGTCCCCAAAGGAATTTAATTAGCCGCCACCTTTACGGCTATTACGGACCGAGACCACATGCGAGATTCTTTAATTCGAGCGATCCAACGCTCGCGATAACCCGTGAACTGCGCCGCCTTAACTAGAATTAGACCGAATGACACGAAATCAGCAGGTGACTATCTCCACGATATCCTCCCTCTCTCTCTCTCTCTCGCGACGCGGCGTTTAACGTCGAGAAGAATCTCGCACACGACGCGCCACCTCGAAAGGTGACCGCGCTTAATTGCGGCGCAGATGCGTGCAACGATTACGATTCTCGGTCCTTCTTCTCCGTTTCGTAACGAATTCTTTGAATACCTCCAACCTTTTTTTACATCCTCCGCGCGAGCGTATCCGAAAATGATCTGATCGGACCCGAAAACAACGATCGCCCACGCGTCCGAATCCTCGAAAAGAAGTAAACGATCGAGACTCCATCCCAGATGGATCCAGAAGAAGAACACTTGCACTTGGCGCGAGTAGAACAACGGAAGAAGGTTCGTTACACGCCGTCGGAGAGAGCGAGATCCTACGGCCGCTTAACTGTTTTGCCCCGGCTGATGGATAGCGCGTTTCGCGCGTTATTACACTCGCCGCGCAGTTGCCAGATTGGGTACACGGGTTTCTCCGGGGCAGAGGCTACGACAGGGGCGTTAATAGCGTGTTTACCGATAATGGTCCAAGGGACTGACCGAGGGGGAGAAAGCTCGACGTTACGATTATTTTCCTCTCCCTTTCTGTTTAGAGAGCTTTATCTCGAGAGAGGCTATTACGAAGAGACGGGGAAAGCTCGAGAGTGTCGGCAGATTTATAAACAGGCTCGGATGCATTTAAGCGGGGCCCTTGCATGTCCACCTTTGCATCGAGCGTCCTTTATCTCGAAAGTCATTCACACCAGATATTCTCTTCGATTCAGCTCTAGTCTTGGAGAAGTAGTCGGGAGGTACGCGAGAGGAAGAAGAGAAGAGCGATCGATTATCCTTGCTCACCTCGCTTCGATCCTTTGTGTACACGAGCTCGTTCGATCGTTAAATACTTCGCGACACAGCGATTCAACAATTTTTCGAGTGTATCGCAATCCTCTTATTTCCTTCCTTTTCCTTTTTTTAATCGATCCGCTTAAACCGGTAATATATTCGCGCGAGCGCGAGCAACGAGCCAAGTTAATTTCGATCGGGTAGAGATTATCCTTATTCCGCAGCCGATGATCTTTCGAATCGTAATTTTCTATCACACAGATGCATTCGCGCGGCCGGACGATATCGGGTGCGCGATTTATGAAGAATTAGTAAATCGTTCAGATACGATCGAACATTTTACGAAAGCGGGCGAATGGACGGAGGGGAGGCGCGTTTTCTATCAAAATGCAAACGAGAGAGGATGCGTAAAATGTCCTTATTATCACCACCATCGATATCGTTCTTGCTCTCCCAACGCTCGAGGACACGGTGAAAAAGCGCTCGAGACGTGCGTGTGCCCCAGATCGGTGGCGATAAGACTCTCAAGGTCCGCTTTTAACTACCTGTCGCGGCCACAAGCTTCGCGAGAAATTTCTCGCCTTCGATCTCGCTCGAAATTCGCATTTTCCTATCCAATCTTTCCAATATCGAAATCGCCGATATCCATATATCGCAATCAAGATCGAGGAAACGGGGAGGGGAGGGCGAGCGACAAGTTGCCCCGTGGCGGAGGAGCAGCTGGCACCACCCC